TTTATAAACTCTTTGGGAATACTTAGTTCCTCTCTTATATATTTTTGAGAAATGAACTCAACTCTTTACTCTTTGCTTAACTTGAAACTTTAGTCTTAAAACAAAGTTAAAACGTTTGTTAAAGACTTTTGAAAACTTAAAAAACTATGCTTGACTTGTTTCTTAACTTCTAGACTTGACTCTTAACTTCTCTTGACTTTAATCCTAACTTTCCTTGAATTGGATTATGGATTCAAGGTTCATGATCTCATGTTTATGGATGATTTCATGATGTTTAGCTATACCTTAGAGTGTTGGAATCGACTAGAAAACATAGGTACATTTCTAAGGAACAAGTACGGAAAGGTGGGGAATGAATAGGGAGAACTGGCGTCCCTGATGCTCTGAGAGGCGCGGGGCGCCAACCCTCAAAGTTCAGAGAACTTTCTGTGGCGCTCTGGCAGGCGCGGCGCCCCAAGCCCTTGCCTAGAAAATCTCTGATTTTTCTCCTTCGTTTTTCATCTTCAAACCCTCTAAACTTCAATGGTTCTTTCCCTAAACACTTAGAGTCATTAGTACCCTCAATATACAATAGATTCAACTCAAAATTTTCACCCGGAAACATGAATCAAATCATTAAGAAACTCCAACAACACAACCCACAAGAATTCAACGAAACTTTCAATAATGCATCAAGAACTGAAAGGATTTACTTTCAAATCAAACATATTTTGCTGAATTGAATCATGTTTGGTGCGTGGGTGAACTAACCCAACGCTATGTGATCTCACATACCTGATAGGAATAAATCCTTGGCGAAAACCACAACTAAATGGATCGATCTTGATGAATCTTGCCCTTTCTTCTTCTTTCTCCTCTTTTCTCCTTTCTCCAAGCCCTGGCGTAAATTTCCAAATTTCTAAAACTGACTAAAATCTGATTTGACCCATATTAAACTCTTAAAAATGGATTAAAATAATAGGGCAAGGAAAAGACTAAAATACCCTTAAAAATCCAGATTGGACATTTCATTATTCCAACAGCCCAACTTCCAAAGGGCATTACTTACTCATATGAACTCAGAATCGCGCCAACTCGATGGCGTTAGAAAGATAATTCCAAGAGCTTTCCAACCATATGTGGAAGTAGACCTAACTCATCCTGAGCTAGGAGTTATGACCATTTGAAGTTGACCAAAAACTCACTTTTCCTAACTTAAACAAATTTCCAGATTTGTCACTATTTCCAAAAATGATTATTTCAAGTTCTTAGCTTCTTCCTAGCTATTTCAAATTGTGAGTTGTTACAGATGGCATGAATGATCACCGCTGGTAGCTGGTACTAGGACCTGCATCACAAAAAAAGATGCAGAGTGTAGCATGTGTACCAAAACAAAGGTGCTCAATAGGCATCATAAGGCTGACTGAGCAAGAAAAGTAAATAAAATAAAATTGAAAATAGATAATCTAAATACAAATAGAGGTCAAAGCAGATATAAAACAAAGCACACGAGCATACAGACAGTAAATTTAAGTTTAGATAAACTAAGCATAGCTGGACCTCATAAGGCCAGAAGGTACATTCATGCGCAAGTTTAAATAAAACCCAAACAGACCGCCATAAGCTCGACATGTACACAAAATTGCTAAGTTTAATGAGAGAAGAGAACCACGAACCGAATGTCGGGCTCCCAACCTAAGTAACCATCATATCCAGACAACTCCTAGCCCAACTAGAAAAAGTGACAATCAATCTAGGCCACCCAGCCAACCAGTCCACTTTCAGGGGCGTAAGCCGCCTAACTAGCAAGAGTGACCTAGGGGTGTGTTGACTTTAAAGAGAATCTCAGGTACTAAGGCCGCTCAGCCAACTAATCCACTCCTAAGGGAGTAAGACGCCTAAATAGCAAGAGTGATCTGGGGGCATGTAGACTCTGAAGAGGATCTCAAGTAAGCTCCAAGCCATCGTGGATCCACATAAACTCACAAAGGATCACAAAATGATCCAAGTCGGAAACACTCCAATCGCAAGAAGGCACACAACCTTCAGTAGCGTATCAGAGCCACAGAGATAGGGAGATAAGGTAGAAAGTCTACAAAGATGCAAAAACTCTTAGACTAAGGCTCATACTATCATACTCAAGTCTAATATTTCCATCTACAAGGACCTAGTCCATCCGAAATGACGTTGGAGATGAAAACAAAGCTAAAAGTCTCTCGAGTCTAAGACAACACTAGTCTACCCTATACTAAGTTTAAACATGCTTCAAATAACAAGTAACAACACAAATAATTCACAACAACATGCAACAACGTACAAGAAACCCCAACTAGCATGGTACTACCCCCGAAATAGTGATGATTAATCCTAAAACATGGTATCTATGAAGAGAGGTAAGAATAACTAGGTACCCACTCACAATTCACTATATTCAACATAAATTTACACAATTCAGCTCAGTCTATATAGAAAGAAAGTCGTAGCCTACCTATAGGTCGACCCCGCGCGCTACAAATCACAAGCTCAGAGATTTTCCTTTCCAAACAGCCTCCAAAGCTGCCACACTATCAAGAATAGGATCACAATGTTAGTACGGACTTTTAGACACCAAAAATGCTTAAAAGAGAAATGGACCAATTTCAGAGTCAAACAAGAATTGTGGAGTGTTTGTGTGTTTCGAATATTGATGAGTTGAGGCATATCTCGATATTCTATTTACCCAAGAGCCACTAAGATGTATTGTGATCTACATGAAGTCTATTGGTAGAATAAAATGACTCAGGATATTGTGGAATTTGAGGCTAAGTGTCTGAATTGCCATAAAGTGAAAGTTGAGCATCAGAAACTAGGTGGTATGACTCAGGATATTAGCATCCCTACTTATAAGGGGGAAGATTTGAATATGAACTGTATTACAGCTTTACCTCCCACTCATTGATACCATGACTTTATTTGGGTGGTTGTAGATTGAATGACTAAATCAATGCATTTTTTCCTTTACAAACCTCTTATTTAGTCGAGGATTATGCTAGGCTTTATATCTGGGATATGGTTAAGTTGCACAGTGTCCCTTTATCCATCATTTCTGATAGAGGTCCCCACTTTACCTCTCAGTTTTGAAGATCGTTTCAGAAGGGTCTTGGTTTTCAAGTTAAGCTTAGCACAACTTTTCACCCACAGAGAGATTGTCAGGCAGAACAAACTATTCAGACTTTAGAGGATATGTTGAGAGCTTGTGTGATTAACTTTAAAGGTAATTAGGATAATCATTTGCCTTTGATTGAGTTTGCTTATAATAATAATTATCACTCGAGTATTCAAATGGTTCTATTTAAGGCTAGACGAGGTGTATGTATCATATTTGTTAGTTTGA